AAATTACATTTAAATAACTTTTAAAATAGTAGGCCTGTAATTTAAAAAACAAAATTCTGTTGAGACATCAACAGTGATCTGTCATTATTGGTGTAAGAGATACAATGTCACTAACTGAACAAATCTGTTAGAGGCCTGTTCTTGAGATGGCTGTAGAAAATGAAATTGCTGAGATTGGTTGAGAATAAAGAACTAAAACTCCTAGTAATGGATGTACTGTTGATACTGACCGCAGGCACTCTCCTGGGCCATTCTAGATACAAAAGGGCTATTTAAACATGCTGTATATGTTTGTTATTCATTAATAAAATTTTGACTGGACTTACCAGAAAACTTTTCAGTTTATAGAAAAAGAATAAGGTACTATGTAGGACTAGGGCTCTCCCGCTTACCAGCTGTGAGCTGTATTAATGGACAAGGCTACTTGAATGCTACTGTGTTGCAGTGGTTCCTTTGTATTTTGTTTGTTTGTGGGGAAAAAAGGAAGAAGAAACAAAATGTGATTTTGAGAGAGACTTGTTTTTTCATCTGACTTGCTTAATGGCAGATACATGAGTAGAAGCATTGTGAATTGTCCAGTGAGACAGTCTCTCAAGAGAGAACAGTATGTTTTCTCACTGGGAAATACTCAGTTTTAACCAACAAAATTAACCTTAAAAGATGTTGTTTGGTCTCAGGCTGACAGAATGGATGTTGCAGCGAAAACCCTTGGCCTATGCTTAGCCCTCAGGGAGGGAAGGAATGCTAATGCTGACTTGAGGACACCAGCGTCAACCCTTGCCTGTGATTCTCATGTTTTTGCAAAGCTAAAATTTAGTTTTCACATATTCTGTTTTATTTTCTCCATTTTCCTGTTTATAAATAAAACTTACAGCAATTTGCTGTTATTTTCCTGTCCAAAATTATGTGCTTTTCATTTTGTAAATAATGTCTCTAACAGTGAGCTCCAAAAATTGCGTTCATTTCTTCAGACTGAGGTACTGAAGGTTAATTGACCGAACAGGTTGGGCTCTCTGCATGGCTGGCTTTGTACATCCTAAAATCGAGCTGGGAAATTTTGATTGTGAGGACACTGCTCTAAATGACAGCAGAGGTGATGTGTACGCTGCCATTTGAATCAACACCACCATTTCACTAGCCTGGGAGGTTGTTTTGATAAATGCTCTTCTCTTTGCCACCTCCTGGCCAGGTCTGATATGCATAAGTAATATGTGTAGGTAATATGACCGAGCTGTCAGGATGATGGGCCATATATTTATTCAGACTACTTTGTTGTGGGTATAACTGTGTTGCTGTTGCAGGAAGCAGTGCAAATATTGATTAAGCACTCGGCTGATGTCAACGCTCGGGACAAGAACTGGCAGACTCCATTGCACGTGGCAGCAGCAAACAAGGCAGTGAAGTGTGCAGAAGTCATCATCCCCATGCTGAGCAGTGTCAATGTTTCTGACCGAGGGGGGCGGACAGCATTGCACCATGCAGCTCTGAATGGCCACATTGAAGTGAGTTGTTCAAGAGAGTAATTGATTGTTGGTTTATTTGTTTATTCTCCCAGTTCAAACAGTTGACCTGCTGTGGCTGGGTCTATGTAAAGGGTTTTGCTAGCATCTTTAGATTTAGGTACAAGGATCCTTGTTTGCCCATTCCACACGTGAAGATCTAGATATGAAACAAAAACTCTTAGACTGGAACAGTAGGCTTCTGTCAACAAAAGTTGATCAGATGTACTGTAATTAAAAGAAGCAAGAGGAATGGTAGTTCCTGTAAAACGATGGAGTTTGGCCTTTAAAATATGGCACCGCAGGAAAGAGATAGTAATGTTTGAGTCTAACTGTCATAATCTAAAGCTTCTGAGCTTTTGGATAGAGTATATCAGAAATGTTAACTGAATGTATGCTGTTATTAGCTGACCTCTGTGGCAAAGCAATGTAGGAGAGGAAGACAATCATCCAGCTCTGTAATTTATGATTTTAGAATGTTTTGCTGAAAGAGACCATTGTTACATGTGTTTTCCATTCAGTTTCCTTTCTTTTTTTTCCCTGATTTTTCTTATGTTTAATGTTGGATGGTTGACAATGGAGAAAGCAGCTTTTCACCTCTTAGCCATGCAGTCTAAAAGGCCAGCGTTGTATGCAAAGCAGCCTGGTGCCTGTCCACACTGCCATGGACACCCAGGAAATCACTGTGTCATAGCAAGAAATAGACACTCCTTGTTGGAAGATCGAGCAGATTTTAGGGTTTGTTACCTCGTGGTCTGAAGGAATCTTGTCCCAATCCACAAGAAAACACCTTAAATTGGTCTTAATAGTAATGAACGACGTTTCTCTTCCAGGCCTGTTTCTCTTCCAGGTTGTTTGGCAAGCAGTTCAGCTGGAGCAGCAGCACCCTGCATGCTCTCAGCCACCTTTGTGGACACAGAACTTGTCCTGATTACTTGTGGCCACCACCAGTCCATGTCATTAATGCACACAGCTTTGAACAGTATTTGTGCAATTCACAGATTTATCATTCAAAAGCAGTATTTTGTGATCACAACCTTTATGCTAGAATGATTTGTTGTAAACTTCTGTGTGTGATCTATGGGCTTGGTTTACTTGCTATTGTTACTTCTAGATGGTGAACTTGCTCTTAGCCAAGGGGGCAAACATCAATGCTTTTGACAAAAAGGACAGAAGAGCTCTTCACTGGGCAGCGTACATGGGTAAGACTTGGGCTGATGCTCCTTCTTTTTAATTTCCTATTCACAAACCAACACAATTTTTTTTAAACCTGGCCATGGAAAGTGAGCATTGTATTTACCCTGAAGAGGAAAGGGTTCAGTTGATCTGAATGCACACTGTCCATTTACGGTTTTGCAGCTGGTGAGAACTTGGCTGTGATTTCCTTTTTAACAGTTAATTGTGGGCTTTTTGTGTTGCTGTTTTCATTTTGGTCTTTTTATCCTGACTCTAATTCCAGCCTGAAGTATATTTGAGCGTGAAAAAATAAAGGCATATTTGTTTCATTTTTTGCTAAAAACTACTTTATATAAAATGCAAATAAATACAATCATAAATTTTGTGTTTATCTATGTTTATAAATAGCTAAGTTACGATATTGTTAGGAAGTGCTTCATAGGCTTTCTTCCTATTAGGAGCAAATTGTTGTCTTTTATTCAACAAAGGACAAGAGCAACTGATTCCTCTATTCAAAACATCAGTGGTGTTACCAAATACTGCTTAGTTAAATCAATTGACCTTATTATTCCTTTCAAGTTAAAGGAAACTTTCTTATAGTGAGGCATTATAATTTAAAAATACTAGAACAAGATTGCCTGTGATAGTGGTCATGCTTGTTCAAGAGCTTTTGTTGGCCAAGCAGTATATTCCAGTTTATAATTATAATGAGGTGTTGTGTGCCCTCGGCCAGGAATTCTTTCATCTGACCTGTCAAAATCTTTATTTTAGTCCTGGCACTTTTGGAAATGAGATAATAGGAGATTTCAAACTGTGAGAAAAGCATATTTTGCCTTTTTTTTGATAGACAGGTAGAAAGACTCTTGCCAACAAATGTTATTTGGCTTTTGAGCTAGCGAGCTTTGAACTCCAATCTGTAGAATTGAAAGGCTTTTACATTGTGCTGTGCAATTCCACATCTCTTTTGCTCTTAATTCTTTTCAGAAATTCCTGATGTACTTCTCAAAATAGGTAGATAAAATTTAGGGCCTAAATTAGCAATGGGGTTTAGGAGTCTGTAGTGTAATTTGGACAGAATTTAGATAATGAGACCTGGTCATCTTATCCTGTAAACCTTCATGTAGTTTCTTGAATGCTTAAATATCTTTGGGCAGTTTGGACTTTGTCCATAAAGTTTCCTAGGTCCTGCATGTGACCAGAGCTGCCTCTGTCATGAAGGTGCTGTACAGCTCAGATGGTGCACAACATCATATGGTGTTTGACATAATAAATTTTTAGTTCTAAGAAAGATGGCTCTGCTTCAACATGAAGCAATAATGACTATTCCTCAGTTAGCCTTGATTCAGTTTTGGTGGTTAGGGCACTAGTTGGGAAGGCAGGTTTGAGACCTTCAGCGAGAGGAGGAAACTGAAGATACAGGTGGGTTCTAAGTTGCATTTTTAAATGCTCAGATCTTCCCTTGTATTTTGTAGGGAGATCCTAAGTCAAGGGTAGTCATTTCACTCCTAAAGACAGGTGTCCCATCGATCTGGCAGTCAGCTCTCAATCTGTGTGACTGCTGAGGCTATTGCAATTATTTTAGTTTGCAGACTAAGTGTGTGTGTATAGACTGTGAGTTCAGGTTCAAACATTTTTAGACCTGTATTCAGGCTTTTTTACACAATTTTGTGTTAATGATACAGTTTTGAAGAGTCAAAAACCTGATCCCGAAGATCAGTGGATTCAGTAGAAAATCTTGTGTTTGTGTCTGGTAGGCTTTGGATCAAATTCTGCACTCACTTGAAACTTAGTTTCTGTGTCCTCAATGTGCTAGAGAAGAGGTTACCTTAATTTTATAATTTACTGAAGTTATTTTGCATTGCTAACAAAAACTAACTAGTGTTCGCAGTTGTGTTTGCAGATGACATTGACAGGATGCTGTTTTGGGAGACTTGTATTGTCATGATCCTGTACTAACTGTTCTTTCTGTAACAGGGAGGATAAAACACAAACTGCTATTTTTAGAGAAATAAATAGGAAATAGGTGGGGTTTTGTTCTTTTAATGACTGGAAAACTAATTCAGTAAAGAGAAATTTGACACATCTGGCTAACGCATGGATTTCTTGACAAGGCCTGGAGCTAGGATTAAGAACAGTTATGAAAATGCTTTTTTTCCCTTGTAAAACTATGGGAGTATTGTGAAACAGCAGCAAAAGGGCCAGTGCATTAGCAAGAAAACAGTAATTTGGGAGAAGTGGTGCTGTAGGGTGGTATACACATTGACTACTATCTTTCATCTTTTGAAGGTCACCTGGAAGTTGTTGCCTTACTAATTAATCATGGTGCAGAAGTGACTTGTAAAGACAAGAAGGGTTACACCCCGCTTCATGCAGCTGCATCCAATGGGCAGATTAACATTGTGAAACATCTCCTTAACCTGGGGGTAGAGGTATGTGGTAATGTACTCTTCGTGGCTTCTGTGTTTCTCCATATTTGCTGATACTCTTTTTTTCTTTCTTATGGATGCTGCTACAGACAATGGCAGAGCTTCTAAAGAAAATCGTTCCCATTTTCTGGACCACCTTGTGCTTCATGTGGTTTATTGGTTCAAGAACTAGGAAACATTCTGGAATAAAAAAATACCTGATGTAGATAGTAAATTCCAGGCCACCTTGCTGAAGAAATCAGGAAATATTTGCTGTTCCTTCAGAGGAAGATGGAATAATGAAATTTCCCTTGGCTCAGCATTCCCTTTGATATGATGAGCGGTTGTTCTCAAAGTATACACTGCATACTTTACACAGCAGTTCAGGCTGTTTGTGTTTAGGGACCTGTATTTCCCCTGTAGCTGATGGAGGGAAGAAGGATTGTTTTCACTCTGGAAAAGAACTTTTTTCAGGGCACAGACTTCTCTTAGTGTGATATTGTCAACTCAGTGGTTCAAAACAGCAGTAAGATGAGCAGAAGAGCCCGCACTGGTTAATGAGAGATGTCAAATAAAGCCATTGCATTTCCCACTGCATTTTCAGCTGACTTGACCTGCCAAAACAATGTCAAAAGCTCATGTTCACAGGCTGTTGACTGTGAGGTTGAAGGGGAATAGGTGTTTTCTGTTATTAGCAGTACTATGCTAATAACTACCCTTAACTTCCACATTCTCCACCACTGGGTATATGATCTTTGAGACACCTGTATTTCATGGAAGGTATTCACATCATCCCCAAGTCTTTTGTACAATCTGTCTTGTCCTATTTTACAGAACAGCAGTGAATACTAAGCCTGTCATCAAGAAGTACCATAATCTTAGTTACATCTTTATAATAGGGAGCTACTGAAAGTAGTTTCTTATTGAAGTGTAAATGGCTATGCAGTTTCATCTTCACCCAGACACCTTCACTCCAATACCAAAAGAAATGTGTGGAAAGAGCTCTTAAGCCTGATTCTGTTCACAAAAATTCAATAGTTGGTGTTTTAATTTTTTTAACAAAAATTGTGAGCTTTTTATTTATTCTACTTTCCCATTTATATGTAAAACCTTTCCAGCTTATTAGGACTTTTGTCATCATCATCATCATCATTACGTAGTCCTGCTATCAGCTTTGAGCTTCATACTGGCTTTTAGAAATTGCCAGTAGGATAAAAAGTTAGTAATAGTAAAGGTAAAGCATTCCAAATTAAGCTCTCTGGGAGTGTATTTTTGTCACTGAAATTTGCTGGTGAGAAATATGCCCTATGACAGTTCAAGCCTGCAGCTATTTCCATTTGCAGTATGTGATGCGTTATGTACAATGGTAACCTGATACCTGTAATTTTAACTGTGTCTCCTTGTCTTATTTTAGATTGATGAAATGAACATCTATGGAAATACTGCACTTCACATTGCCTGTTACAATGGTCAGGATTCTGTTGTTAATGAGCTGATTGACTATGGTGCTAATGTAAATCAGCTTAATAATAATGGATTCACTCCCTTGCATTTTGCTGCTGCCTCCACTCATGGAGCACTGTGTCTTGAACTACTCGTGAATAATGGGGCAGATGTTAACATTCAGGTAAAACTTGCATTGCTCTTCAGTTTTACTTTATCCTATTTTGCATACCTCAGGAGGCTGAAAACTATAATAATGACTACAGCATGGGTTTAAATCCTTGATGGGAATAGAGTGATGCTGAGAATGTTGATCATTAAACTGTTTGGATGAAATTACTTCCCAGCAGAGGTGCTCTCAGTGCCTTGATAAGTATGACAGCTTTAAACTCTAGACCAGCCACTCTCCTGAAGGCATGAACTACTACTAAAATATGGTCCCAGGAGCTCTGTCAAAATGTTGTCTCAGGGAGTGGTGGTAAGTCAAGGAACTATTCCTTTCTGGTGTTTTCCTTCCCCCTACAAAATGAATTTAATTAAACCTGATTCTAAAAGGTTCCTTTTGACTTTCCTGGGGAAGTAGGAACTGAAGGTTGTTTGTTTACTTGTTTTAGAGCCTGAGTTTACAAAGTTTGATTCTGTTTAGGATATCTGAATGCTCTTAAGATACAATTGATACATCTTGATGAAGCTGAAAGAGACTTGCTGTTACCCAACAGAGTGTACTGGTATAGATACCAGAAGATTTGAGATCTGAGTTCATACAAGATTTTGACTGCTTTACTTTAAACTCTATGTGTTTCAGTTTCCCATCTGTAAAACTGGTCTCCTAGCATTCAACACCTCTGGCAAGACCCTTGAGATCAGTGAATAGTCAGTGCACTGTTTAAACTCAGAATTATTAAAATTAAATTAGGGATTGTGCTTGCCAATGCATGCAAAATCCCATGCTAATAAACATGAAGTGATGCGAGTAGTGAGGCTGGTACCCTTCCCTTGCTATTTTCTCAGCTCCTCAGCTTCCCCAGTCTCAGTTTCTTTCTCTAGAACACAAAACATTGATTTCTACTCATTGTGCATTTCCTTTCTTATGCCTTCTGTGTTTTCTAATTGTCTTTTGTAGACACCCTGTCTTTGATTGCATGGAAAATTATTAACCAGAACGTTTTAATACAGTGGCTTTTATTCTGGGATGTAGCTGTAAAATGCAGATTGATAAACAAGACGTAGTTCTTGAATCTCTCAGAGACTGCTCCTGCTTAGCTTTATGATTCCTTTGCTTTTCTTTATTCCCCTTGTTGCAATGGTTAGGGAAAACAATGACAGAATGAGAAATGTTACTTAAAATAATATTCAATAATAATAATATGTCATATATCTAGGTTTCTAGCAGGTGTTGTTTACAGCCAGGCTGTAAGGACAGGCTCCACTCATTGCCCATTTCCTACTCATCACTGAGGAACTATTTTACTTGTGTGCTTATACCTTCTGTGTTTACTGTCATGTATGGGTTCAGTCCTGCAGAGTTTTGAAGCCAGTGGGAGGTTTTATCTGAAGAATAGCTGTGGGATGTTGAGCTGAAAGACTTCAAATTGTTATCACTGCTTCACATGCTAAATGGTTGGTTTAATTTTTTGTTTCTGTTAGAGTAAGGATGGGAAGAGCCCACTGCACATGACAGCTGTCCATGGGAGGTTCACGCGGTCGCAGACCCTCATTCAGAACGGTGAGTTTCTGTGCCCATTTAATGACTCTCCAAAAGATTAGGCATTTCCAAGATTGCAATTTTTAGTTGTTCTGACCCAGAATGCCAAAGGGCTGCTCTGAGAGCTGCTTAGCCCCACCAGCTTCTGGCTTTGGGCTGCACTGACAGCTCTCATTCCAGCGTGTCATCAGAAGTTGAGATTTTGGTTATTAACAAAATCCCATATTCCTCCAGCTGACGGTGGTGCAGCTGATCTGTTGTGATTCTTAACATGAAAACAAGAGTTCAAAGCTGTATTTAGGTCTTTTTTTCTGCTGAGAAGCAGGCACAACTTTCTTTCTCAAATTATTTAAAAACTAAAAAAAAGAAAGAGTTTCTAGTTGTCCTCTCTTGGGACCCCTGGTGTTCTTTGAGCTCAGACCATTTTCTCTACCCTCCGCTCCGCAGCTGTACTTCTCTCACCTCCCTTAGCTCCACCCCTCACCACTGTCTTCATTAAGTGTTGAATAAATACTCAGGAGGGTGGACCAGCACCACCTTGTTTGTTCTGGGCAGGATTCCTGATTATCAGTCATTTATCAGGTATCTCTTTTGTCCAAGAATACTACAGAGTGTAATAAATATTGTTGTTGGAGATCTGGCAGAGGACTGTTTCTGCTTGACAGAGGTTACTATTACTGATTGTTTACTAATGCTTCCTGGCTTTGGCCACTGTACCAGACAGGATGGTCTGGGGTTTGTTGGTTGATGCCTGTTTTTTTTTGTTTGTTTTCCAAAATCCCAAACATGGAACTTAAGTGTGAGATGCTGAAGGTGGCTGAACAGTTATGCTGCAAATGTAGTGACACTTATATGTACACAAGATTGTATTTTAAAATGGAGGTCTTCAGTACATCATGCTTCTTTCAGGTCATGATGCAAATTCTTGTCATATCTCTCCTTTGATAAATAAAATAGTAATAATAAAAGGAGTTTGGGTGAACTGGAAGAAACTGTTCTTTAATACAGTTTTTAGTTGTTTAGTCAAGTATGCTCTCTGACTTCGAGCTGTTGTTTGCTCTCTGTTGGACTTGTGTGTGAAAGGACTGGCAGTTCTTCATCTGTCCTTCACGCCTTTCTACTCTTCTTCAATTTAGTTTGGTTTCGCTTCTGTCTTTCTGTCTTTCCTTCTTTCCCCTCTAATTTTAGTATTGTACACAGATCTGATTGCAAGTGACTTTATGCCTCATTGCCATGGGGTACTATGGAAGAGAGAAATGTCAATGCTTGAAAGAAATTTGGGTTCATTTTACAGTACTTAATGAGTTGGCTAAAGATATCTCCATTTCTGGCTGCTGTCTGTAGCATCTTGTAGGGAAGAATGGACTACCTTAAAATTGGAAAATTGCAAATGTGATACCTGTCTTTAAAACTGGGGAAAAAGAAAAGCTGGAGAATTTTACACAGGTCAGCCAAAAATTCTGGAATGAGTGAATGAACGAACTGTTCGTAAACACATAGGGAGGAGTTGGCAATATCTGGCATGGACTTCTCAAGAGTAAAAGAGGCTGAAACATCATAATTCTCTTCTACAGCAGGGTAGCAGTCTTTGTGAACACAGCACAGTTCTCTGACTTTTCTGTGGGCAAGTAATGTTTGTGGAGGCTCCACCTCAGGGACCCTGTTTGAGCATTTCACTGACCCTTATTTACTGTTAGAAAATGCTGTATAGTGCTTTACTAGAACTTTTCTTCTTCTACTTATGGCCTGTTATCTGCTGTGAATAGTGGACATGCAGTAAATATTACCATATCCTGATGTTAGCAAGACTTCTTATGCTTTCATAAAGTATTCTCACAGCAAAATAGTGGAGTATTAAAATATTACAGTGTTGGTGCATAACTAGTTGAAAAACTACACTCGGAGACTAGTAATAAATGGATTGTTGTTGAAATGGAAGGTGTAGTGAGAGGGTTTTCAGTTTCCCTTCTGCAACTGGAACTATCCAGTATTTTCATTAACAACTTGGATAGTGGAATAGAAAATGTGCTTTTAACATTTGGAGAAAACATGAAGTTGGGAGAGACTGCTTGTTTGGCAGAAGGTGGAATCAGAATGGAAAGTGATTGTGTAAAATTGTAGACAGAAGGTATAATGCAAGGGAAGCAAAGGAAAGATCCCACACACAGGCAGGAGTATCAGTTGGACAAGTTCATAATGGCAACAGATGGATGGGTGGTGGTTCCTCAAGAAAGGATCTTGGGCTTATAGAGGATCAGAAGCTTGTTGACCACAAATCAACAGCGTCATGGTGCTTAAAAAAACCCAATCAACGATGTACACAGTGCTATGCAGTGTACAGGAGTGTATAGATAGGAGCGTAGCCAGCAGGCATGAAGTAATCCTCAGCTGTATTACTGTTTCTGGCTTTTGACATGTTACTTCCAGAAGGATGTGGGCCAGCTGGAGAGGACTAGGGGATGGACAAGAATAGTTGGAGTGCAGCAAAACTGACTTACGAGTTGATACTGAAAAAATTACAGTTCCTTGGTCCAAAAAAGAAAACAAGGACTTGATAACAGTCTTTGCATGGGTCAAAAGCCACAGCAGAGAAGAACTAATCTATTTTTCCTGCTTGTGAGGATAAACCTTGAGATGACAGGCTTAAAACGCAACAGGAAGAGTTCTCTACTTAAGCGCTGTTTTGTTATTATTTGGTAAGACACAGAGAAGGCACACCACACGCTTGTTGTTTGCAGTGTGTTCCTGCTGGCCTCTTAAACGAACTCTATTTAACATTTTTGCCTTACAGCTAAGGTTGAGTGGCAGGGCCTTTGCAATGAGGGCATAGTTTCAGCAGTTTATTTTGTTAGTTTAATTCAAGGCATCCATTTGTACCTTTAGGTGAGCAGCAAGTCTGAATCATGTACTTGACCATTGTATGTCATCCTGTTCACCTATTTCCCACCATTTTTCTCCACCACTGCAGTTGGAGAGGAAGGTGAAAATGCTTCTGCCGGACCATTTTCAGTACCAGCGGCTGACAACTTGCTGTGCGCTGGTTCTTGGTCTCTGAAATTTAGTGTCTCTGTGGCTGGATTGGTTATGCTGCATTCACTAGAGAGAAATGGCATTTGTGGTCACTGGTTCATGCTTAATCTTTCAGTGTTAAACTGTATGAAAATCTCTTTTGCAGGAGGGGAAATCGACTGTGTCGATAAAGATGGTAACACCCCTCTGCATGTGGCTGCAAGATATGGACATGAGCTTTTGATTAACACTCTCATAACCAGCGGAGCTGATACTGCCAAGTAGGTGGCTGAAGTGGAGCTGTTTCTAATGATCAAGTGTTATGTCCAATGCCTGAAAACACAGTTACTCCTCAGGTTCTAAAATGTGAAGGTTAAAATGGATAAGTATAATTGTACTGTACTTAAGTGGGTGCCATGGGGCTAAAATGTGAACACTTGGGAAGTGTGGAGGGGAAGTAAGCCCTGCTTAGTTCCTATTGTGCCCAGTTATGCAGTTACAAGTGGTACAAGTACAGCTTCTTTTTCCTAAAACATTGATGTGGCACAGTGGTACATAATGCACATGAAGTACGTATGTATATACAGCGCATCTTGATGACAGTTATTCCAGAAAGTCTGTAGCCATGACTTTGTACAGGAGACGAAATTGAAAAAAATTCAGATGCCTTCCAAGGGAATTGTGTGCATATTTCTTGGTATCTAAATTATGTTTAGTGGCCTGTCATACATGGTGCTTATTCTTTTGTCTTTTATCTTTTAGTATGACACCGGGTAATCAATACAAATGCGGTATTGCACAGCCGATGTTACTACGTGTATCTGATCTCAGTATAACTAGAGCCTGTTTTGATGTTGCATAGTTTCTGATACTCAGGTGGCTGAAATAATAGATCTGTTTTTATCTGTTTTGTGAGTTTGGGAGTCTTTTTTGAATAGGACAAGAAGTTGAAATTAGACACATTTCTAAATGTTGTTAGTGCTTTCTGCTTCAATTAAATTTTTTCTTTTTTTTTTTTTTTTTTTCTCTTGCACATGTGTCAAGACTGCACCCACAATATGATAAGTATTGTCAAGTCAAACATCAGGAGGTGCTTGATTTTTTTAGGAGTACTTGAGTATTGGTTAGTTGTATTCAGGTTCTTATGGTCTGTCAAAAGAAAATAGCAAACCTGAGAGTAAACAAAGGGATATAAAAACAGAGTAATGCGATGCCATGCGGGATATCTGTACCAGGTGTTTAATAGCAGCATCTGATTTCATGAATGTAAGTTTTTGGCAGTTACCTCCACATGTCTCCAAAATATAATTTAAGAGTCTTCTACCTAGAACCTACCATAGAAATCAGTGACTTCTCTTGAAACCTTACATAGTTAAGAAAACCTACTTTCAGACGTAAGTGATCTGGTTTTAATTTTGAAGATACTTGCAGCTCTTAGTATTTTGTTTGTTTGCTTGATGATGTTTAAGAAAGTGGCACATTTGCCCATCTTCCTTTATCAAGTACGACTGTCACCGTGCAAACTTGAAGGTGGAACAGATCTTCAATTGGCATGGATAATGAAATTCCACAGGTTTCAGCTAACATCACTGGATTTTATTAACATAGCCAGCATGAAGATCTTGGTGTCTAAACAGATGTGTATTTTTCCTAGCTCTTTTTCCAGTACAGTAAGTCTCAGTCTATCTCTTGAGGTTTAAAGGGAAAATGAGATGCGGTGGGATAACCCACTCTTGGAATCAGAGTTAGCCAGTTAGAAATTTCTGTTTCACACTTGGGTGACTGGAACATCCATCGAATAAAATACTTTTTCCAGCAGCAGAAATAAGTGAAATAAGAAGTTGGCTCAGAGATACCAGGCAGATCCAAACGATGCTACTGTCTGTGCTAAACAAGGAGCATTGAAATGCTGGGAATGGGTTTTCATATGTGCTGCATGTAAATAACTCTGGCTGAGCTCCCTGAACTGGCTTTGAAAACAAGATTCTGCAGCCTTGTTAGCAACAACTGCAGACAGCTTGGTCAGTCTTCCAGGCAACTGCATTTATAGAGCAGAGTGTGTAAGTGATGGGAGGAACCAGTATGAACAGCACTACAGAAGTGTGAAACTGGTTAGCAGATGTGCAGATAATGTATTTCAATGGAAACCAGCGAAAACATATGCTGGGAGGAAATCTTGACCTAAAAGAAGAAAAATGTTGCTTTGGATAACTTGGTGGAGGAGGAGATAGAGGGAAATGAGTGTAGGAAGAAGCACAACAATACAGAATGTGCAATGTTAGATTAAATAAATGAATCCACAGCTGAAAAATGCAACCTGTTTATACAGATGCAGCAGCTTGGTGGAGCTTGTGCTGTTTCCTTCAAAGAATAGGCTGTCAGATCATCTTTGAATAGTTTTACTCTAAGATGTAGATGCTGACACTAGCAAAATTGAAATTTGTACAGCACCACAAGTCACTCCTTAGTGTAGTGAAGCAGCAAGGACACATTTAATGTGAAGACAGAGGAAGGACAGGCCTGTGGATTCTGGAAAGAATAATTTTTTTCAAAACAAACCAAATCAGTTGAATATATATATGTATAAAATGTTGGAGAGAGAAAAATATCTTTATAAACATCCACATTATTTTTGTCAAAAGCTTCATAAGTGATTATGATTTATGGTGAGCCTTGCAGAAAGATGAGTTCCTTTGTCTTTGGGTCTGTATCTGAAATCCTCTTCCATGAGGTGATCATACTCTTCCATCCGCCAATTGTCTTGCAGAAATGAAGGGCAGATGTGAATCCATCTGCTATTGTTAAAGAGTTTGTAATTTTTCAAAAATATATCTGCTGAAGCAGGCAGTAGATGATAATCTTGTTGAGATAGTTGGTTTCAGAGACTCCATGTTTATGTGCACTTGGAGGACTGCTGGTAGGATAATATTTCTAGAATAACAAGATGCTTTTCACAAAACAGTGCTAGATGACAGAAGCCAAGATGTCTGAACTCAAAAGTCTTCTAAGACGGTAAACAGCGGCATGCTTAGGGACTGAACTGGGATGATACTAATAAAAGCTGCTGAGTGCTCAGCTTTTTTAAAAACTATGTGGTTGCCTGATACAGAGTTAGCCTAATGATAGGGCCCTACTTTTTTTTTGGTCTGCTCTGAGAAGAGGGTCATGTCTTAAAAGGGGGAAAAAGTGAAAGGAAGTTGAGGAGAGTAGCTGGAGCAAATAAGAAAATTAGATGTTTAATTCTTAGGATGTGGAGAGAAAACTGTGTCATGGCAGTCTAAAGGAAAGCGTAAAGAAGAGTCATCAGCTACCCTGGCCCCAGAGGAGACAGAGAGGGAAGAAGGGGAGGCTTTGAAAACCTGCATGAGAGTTATCTAAAGATGTTAACTGCGGGAAAAATGGGTTTCAAAAATAATAACAGGAAAATTTCAGCGTTTACTTTTACCTCGGAATGGCAGTTGCAGTATGTGTAGCTGATGCAGAGATTTGTGCATCCCAAGCCGGGAAATTAACTCCAAGCAGTATCTGCTCTCTCGCTTCCTCTCTTACCTTGGCTTTCGCCTTGAATTTTTAGAAAGCTTCCTGCCACATTCTGTTCAAAGCATAATGCCAAGATTTTGCTGCATCAGAATATTTTTAACTCCCAAGAAGGCTGGTAAGGAAATACAGATAAAAATAACATGGCAGGAAGGATGTTCCTTGAAAAGGACGAAAAATGCTGCCTTTGTGGAAGGAGCTTTTGATGTGTGGTGTGTGTATGCAACCTGCATTTTCACATGACTGTGTAATGAGGCTGTTGTGCCTTTCAGGTGTGGGATCCACAACATGTTCCCTTTACACTTAGCAGCCCTGAATGCTCACTCAGACTGCTGCAGGAAACTGTTGTCATCGGGTAAGTAAATCCTGCAGTGTCTGTGGAGCTCAAGTAGTGTGTGTCTCTGCTGCTTATGGCCCTTTCATACTCATTGTTGTGAATCGTTTGAATGAAAGACTTCCTGTGCTGCTGTGTTCGGCTGTGTGGTGTAGTGTGCGGGAGCGTGCGAGGCTTTCCTAACGGCATGCTGGTACTTCCTCACATCCTGTATTGTTCATGGCTGAAGCTTTTTTCTGCTGCCAGGTTCAGAGATTTTATATTAAATCATCAAGAGGAGGGAGGAAATTTAGGACCCATTTTCAAACTGTAGGAATGTGAGAGACTGTTTTGGTTTGGGTTTTTTCCCCCCAAAGGAATAATTCAGTACATTATTTCCTTGGGGCCTGCACTGGCGCAGGTATTTACATCTCACTGATGATGATGGTTTTAGATGCAGCTAAAGTGTATTTCTGAATCTGGACAGAGTAAAGGAGTTAGGCTGACCAAAGCTCTGTGGGCACGAGAGGGGAGATGAGTGAAAGTGTAGCATTGAGAGAGCAGTCTTGGGTTCCTCACCAGAGCCCAAAGCAGAAGAAGCAGGAGTTTACTGACACAACTGTTTAAAAAGAGGCAGTAATCAGGTACCAAATCCCAAATTATTTTTTTCCAGGAAAGAGTTCCCATGGGTTAAAAAATCACAAGGCATATCATAGGCTTTTTCTAGAAGATTGCTTCATTACTTAACATGTAAAATCTCCTACAACTACTTTTTCCCCTAAACATGAGTCCTGTAGGCTATAAAAAAAGTGTGAAAAATGACAATTACATACCCCATTACATTAAACCTTGGCACGCTCTGGCCTTGACCACTAGATCAGGAAGGAAGAGAAAAAACTCTAGGTGACCAGAGTTAATACTGTGAGCCTTATATCTTTGGCCTTGTGCATCTTGATGAATATCCCTGCGTGCTCCTGGAAGCCTTTTTCCAACCTGAAAACCACATGCAATAAAAATGGCTCCATTTCGTGTTCAGGCTGACTCTGTGGTTTTTCTTCATGTTTTCTGTCTTCATGTCCTGCTGTCGCAGTCCTCTTGATAAGTATCTACCTCATAAATGCCTGTCACATGGTTTTAAATAGGGATGTGTGCAGAGCTGCATGTGGAAATAGGTGCTCGTCGACTTTGCAGCTCTTTTTATAGAGCTGCCAAACTGGAGCAGCCACTCGCCGTTCCTGTGACAACCTCTTTCTGACTGTAGTTGCTTGCGTTCTGTTTTTTCCCAACTAACTGATTTTTCTGTCTCTGCAATGTTTCTTGTGGTTTAACTAGGACAAAAGTATAGCATAGTGTCCTTGTTTAGTAATGAGCACGTGCTGTCTGCAGGCTTTGAAATAGACACCCCTGATAGTTTTGGAAGAACGTGCCTCCACGCTGCCGCTGCAGGAGGGTGAGTAGCTGTCACTGTAGCTGTTGTAAGCTATTTTGTGACTTCCTTGCCGATTTGGTGCCAGCCAACTTGACTGTGCTGTCCACAAAGGAACTTATTGCGGTGCAAAGGAAGCAAAGCAGTCTGATGTCAAATTTGGGTCTTTTGCCACTGCCCTCATGTAGGGGTTGCTTGCAAAGTAAAGAAGATGATCTGATTCCCTCTACCACAGAGAGCTGGGTTGTGATTTGAAGCATGGGTTTCAGGTGTAGAGTAAAACTCTTTCTTTTTACGCCCCTGTGAAGACTGCTTCAGCTTTGGCTGTGGGTACTGCGTACTCACCCAGGTCTGCTTGTTGGCCGAAATGGTCCGTGAGGGCCAGCAGCCAGCTCCTAGGGCAAAGTGAGTGAGGAGGAGGAGCTGTAGCTCCTGGGGTGCTGCTGGCAGGAGAGTTATTCCTGGCCTCCACCTTTGGACTGTGTCCTTGTCCAAAAATGCAACTACGCAACAGTGCCCATCAGATTGCAACCCTGGAGTCCAAATGCAGCTCAACTCCCTCTTTCCCATTTTTCAGGTGCAAGTTTCAAAGTTTCTGAAAGAAAAGCCAAGAAACTAAAACAACAACAAAAAACCAACCCCAAACCAACCAAACACCACCCAACCTCCAAATTAGAACATCAAAAGACTGTCGTTCTCTTAGAGTGATGCATTCCTGATAAGTGCTGGGAGGCCAGAAATTAAGGCAAATTAAAACTGAAATACATCATTTAAGTTGTAAATGTAGCATCCAGTTAGTTTAAATATTTCCAAATAATTATCAGTGGAGTGCTGTGAAGTTAACCTAGCAAAAGGACGAAACATTTGGCAAACACTGGGTTTTGACTCTTCTGTTGAGTACTTTATGGCTCAGAAAACAGCTGAAATGGAGCCTTGGCTAGAACCCAGCTTGGATTCTCTATGGTGATAGCAAGCAGAAATGATCGTCCACAGCAAATACTTGGCAGTCTTTCTGGAAGTTGTTTTTTCTTCATGGTGGACCAAAAAGTATAACTCAAAGTTTTTGTTATTACAAAAAAACTAATAAAATTGATCCAAATACTGGTTTTATTATTCTTACGGTATTATTCTTCTTGATACTTGTCTCACATAATAGAGGAGGTATGACTGTTGCTTGGATGGAGATTAGTAGTATAATTCAGATGCTACCTCTTCGATAAGGCTGCACCCCAAAAGAATACTAAAAACAACCTAGAAGTCCTAAAGAGGAGAGACTTCATAAGAAGCAAAAGTGGTTCATGAAAATAAACCTTGTTTTTCCAGTGGTTTACTACAATTGTCATCACTAACAAATGTTTTTATTTTTAGTATGTTGTGGTGAGTGTTCTGTAGCTATTTTATGCAATAGCAATTTAGAGTAGGGATGAACATATGCCATCGTATTGTATCCAGTCTTTTTTTTTTCGTGGAGCTGGAGCTATATAAAAGGCATTCGTTTTTTTCCTGACACATGCCTGTTACTCCCATTACATTAATGGGACTTGCATGGGTACTAGGAAAAGAACATACTTCAAAAGCCTGCTCATCTGATTGTGAGCACAAATAATTTATTGACCCTGTGAATGACAAGGAATCTTGAAAAGTGCTGTGCTTCTTTATGTCGTTTTCTGGCTTGGAGTCATACATTTATTTGCTTGAATTACAAAAGATGTGAGAATTCAGCTGTTTTATTTTTTGTTAAAAATCACCTGGCTTTAAACAAGATGAAGAAGTGGCTATGATGTGCTAAATTCTTTCAAAGATACAAAGCAATGGAGTTCAACTCATCCACCCATCTAAATGCAATGTTGATATGACAATCACTTTAAATAGCTATACCCCTTATTTAACAAAGCACTTAGAGATGTGCTTAAATCTATTAATAGTCAACAAATCATATGAGAATAAACCCAAAAGTAACTCTTGTGATTAAATCTCACTAAGTAAACAGGATTTGAGCAAAGTGCTTACTGTCGAATGCTTCGGTGAACGGGGGTGGATTTCGTTAAATGTCACCTTTTCATTATTAGACTGGCATTTTATAAGCTAGCAACAACTTTCTTTTAAAGTTCCTTTATAAAATACCAGTTCAGTGTGGGAAGCATTAGGGTACGACTCCCATTGAAAATCTCCAAACACCCTGAATTCATATCACATTTATTGTGCTGTCTTTGGGAAATGATTTTTTTTTTCTTCTGCAGAAGAGAAGTTTAAGGTTTTCTAGAAAAAAAAGGAAGTAGTTTTTTAAGGCTTCTTTTTCTGTTTGATTGAATTTCATGTTGTAGTGGGTTGTACCCTCTTTTTGCATGGCAAATAATACAAAGATAGAGTAACTCGTTCCTTTTTGGGGGCAGGGAGCAATACAGATGTAAACTACTGTTTTGTTCATATTTTGTTTTCTTTGCTTCTCTTTCCAGTAATGTTGAATGTATAAAGCTCTTGCAAAGCAGTGGAGCAGATTTTAATAAGAAGGACAAATGTGGGAGGTAGGTAAATTATGAAATTAATTTAAAAAAGAAAAGAAAAAAAAAGAATCTAGCTGGCAAGGAAGAAAGACCATCTCAGTCTGGAAATCATATGTTCAATGAAAAATGACCGTAAAATGAAGTAGGAGTTTGGCCTTCACTGCAGAACTCTTGCTGCTGCAGTTACATGCCAGACAGACAGATGCAGACTTCATTAAATACATAAAAGCCATCCCACCCTTTTGAGTTTTCTGGTTTAAAAATATCACAGGTTTATTTTTTTTTCCTTATTACTTCTATTATTGCCTAAATTCTTGCGCTTGTGTGGCCAAGACAACACCTGGGTTATGATGGGAGGATTGCTGCTATTTGACGTCCTTCCTAAAGGATTTTTTTTCCCCATATGAAGTGTTGCTATGAGTGTTGCTATGCCAGCTAAATAAGATGCTGCAAGGGACACCATGCTTTGCTCTGCCTCCCAAGTAGAATAAAGTAGTGTGTATGCAGAGCAACAGCAGAGGCTGTCACTGGGAATAGGTTGTTTACAAGACACAGATTGATGGTCTGTATCCCATTAGGCTTCGTAGGAGCACCAAAACTTCCTGTTAACACAAAGTTTTGTTAAATTTCTGTAACTTTGCATTTCATCACAGGAAAATAAGGTGCTGATACTGACTGCTGGAAGTCTGTAGGAATGCAGCAATTAAAATTTATCGTTATCCTCAGTGGTGCATATTACAATATGAGGTAAAAAATTGTCACTTATGTTCCAGGACACCTTTGCACTATGCAGCTGCAAATTGTCATTTCCACTGTATTGAGACACTGGTGACAACAGGAGCCAGTATTAATGAAACAGATGACTGGGGACGCACCCCTTTGCACTATGCTGCTGCCTCTGACATGGACCGAAAGTAAGAAAGCCTGTTTGTATTCCTTGTTTAAAAGTGCTTTGCCAAATCAGTGTCATTCTGTTCTCTTCGTGATGCTGTGTCATTTGAGTCAAAAAAATTATCCCACTAGCAAAAGAATTTCTTTCAGATGTATATATAACTCCACACTGAGTTGCTCTGGCTATAAGCCAAATCCTCAGGTGACATGGCATTTCAGGTCTACAGTTTACCTTTGATGTAATACACAGTTTTGCAGCCACCCTGTCCTACTGAACTATTTTCACAATATTTTGTCTACTGTTTTCATCTGTGTGGTTTCCTCACAAAAGTAAGCTCAGAGAATTTTCTACATCTGCTTTTCAAGTCCATCAGAAGGGATGGAGCAAGAGACAGAGGAAGGAGAGGTTTTCCTAGGTGGGCTGCAGTGACAGACAGTCATCTGGCTATTCTGACAGACTTTATGGAAAAGACAGGATAGATCTACTGATGAGTCTGTCTCCACTGTCAGAGCTGACAAAAATGCTCACCTTGTCCAAACAGGTTGCTTCTTAGAGACTTTAAAAAGAGAGAAATCTGGGGAATATCCCTTGGCAGAATGCAGTGCTGTTCTTATGAGAAAGGGGAAAAACAGCTGCAAAACTTAGAAATGCTGTGGTTAGTGACTGCAGTTTCTAATTCCCAGATAGTTGCATGGTTTGTCAATCTCTTCCTTATAACATACTGTCTAAAACAGGCTCAATTATCCTGTTAGTTTTGTCTTAAAACTGTTAGTGACTTGTATTTATTTTATGTCATCGCATGTTTCTCTGTCTCATTCCTCTAGACACTAAGGAACTGGTTTTTTTGTTTCTTGTATAATGAGGTCTGGTAAAAATACATCTGGCTTATTGCCAACAGAATACCACCTCAAAGCCACTGCAGGGAAACTTCGGCTTAATTTTGTGGTAGAGGTTTGGATGCCATACCAGAGGTGTGATCATTTGCTGTGATAATACTTGATATAAAAATGTCTTCCCTATCACCCTCAAACCTGGCAGGGCTGGAAAGAAGGCAGCAGGATCTTCAAAGGTCTATGCTTGACATTACAATCAGAGTAGGCTTGTAGGAAGGCTTTCACCACTGGCTGTTTCTAATTCTGTCTTGCCAGGGTGAGGTGTTACTCGGGGTGTTGAGAATGGTGATTTGCTGTGTGGTTTTCAGCTTTTGACTCTTTGTAGGTGAAATTCCTGCATTTAAACCTGGTTAACCTAAGGATGCTTCGACTTCCATCACTATTCCAAAAAAAAAAAAAAAAAAAAAAGCTTACTTTAGTCCCCATCCTGAACAATGGCAGGAATATGTGGCCTTTATTTGCCCTCATAGTCCAAACCTAAATTGATTCTGACGTGGTGGTGCTGTCTTCTCATTAGATTTTCCAGTTTGAGATACTCTGGAAGAAGCCTTGTTACATAGATGAAATGCTATTTGCAGTCCATGATTTTGTAAGTCAGCATATTTTTTTAAACTGAATAGCAAAAAAATCCCAAGGTTGGGCAATCTCAGTCCAAAGAATATTCATAATTATTTATCTTTGGATGTGGGCAGTTAATGAGCAGGAAGAAGTCTTGGTGCAGCGAGGTTGCCCTAGTGTTTCAGCTGTTTTGGTAACTGTTGTTGCTTATGATCTTCAGAAAGTATCCTCTCCTGCAATGGAAATCACAACAGCATTTTCGTTAAATAAATAATTGCAGTTTCTGACTATGTACTGTTTCTCTAGATTATCACTATTCTGTTCAAAAAATATTATTTTTGGGACCTCACTGATTTGTAGTTAACTGAAAGCAGATGCAGGTAGGATTTAAGCATAGCACAAGTACTATCTATGAGCTTAAAATGTTAATATTCAGGAGAGTTATTTTATTAATAATGAAGTTTTCTTTGGGTCAGTGGGCTTTGGACAGACCCTGGGTTTGTACAATGACCCACTATTGCTAGCACCCACAGGAAAAATGTCAAATGTTGATATTACAGATGGGAAATGGCATATTAAAAAAAGAAAGTACTGTTCTGCATTGTGCAGAATCCAATCTGGAATTTGTGTGTTCTATTGGGATTGAAATTAGCAAACTGTTCTTCTACAAACCTTTCAAGCTAGGAATCCATTATGATAGCAGTTTGTAAACATTCTCTGTTAGCCTTGGTGGCCAAGAAGGATCATAGTCACAGGTTCATAATTGTAAGATCACAAATCATAGTCTTCTGTCTGCCATCCATCCATCTGGGAAGCAGAGGTGCCAAAAGTGTTCTGGGTGTGCAGGAATATGAAGACATGCTGCGGTCTTTGAGGAATCTAAAGAATCTGACTGAGAGCCACACAGTGTTGCCAAGACATTTCACAGAAAGAGAGGACAGTCAGCAACACAGCTAATGCAGATTCAAGATAGACCAATTTAGTATCAGTGATTAAAGTTTCTCTAAATCTTAAATATTAGAGAAGAACTAGTGGGTAGCATACTGCAGGAAGAAGCAAGCTCTGGTGATCCTGAGTTCCTCTCTGCGAAGGAAACAAAATGCACAACATTGCTGTGGGAGAAACAGAAGGACTCTAGAAAGTGATGATCAAACTGTTTCTGATAGAAACCAGAATTTTCTGGTTTGTTTTTTTTGCCATTGACTTGCAGGACAGTAGTTGTCTCCATGGCTTGCAAAACTTACTAGCTGCAGACCCATGCAGTACACTCTTTTCACTTGTGTGATTCTTACTGTTGGCTGGAAGAGGTCAACTCCTTGAAGAGGAGATGGGGAATGGGTGGCAGATGGCATCAAAATCACTATTATGATATTTTGAAAATAAGTTGCATTTTTCTGTCCTCTGTGCTAAGAAGAAAGAATATTTTAGGTAACTCCCATGAAAATGCTGAAGAACTTGAAAGAGCCAGTGAGATGAAGGAAAAAGAAGCTGCATTGTAAGTTTGGTGTCAGTAAAGCAGTTAGACTCCATTTCTGGAGAATGCCGCTTCTATGGGCTGCAGTTTACACTCTGCTTTTGCTCATTCATTGCTCTGCTAAACACAATGCTTGGCTTTAATGAAGGCTAACCTGAAGAAAAAAAGCTCTGTGCTCTTCTCTGTGCATATATTCCCTAATATTTTTGTTTCTGTGCTTGTTGCTGTTTCTTAATTGAAAATGTGCTGCTTCAGTAATTTAATAATTCTTTAATATTGTGCACTGTCTTATTTTAATGCTTTGCACTGAGCATGTATGTTGCAAAAAGAAGTAGCCAGTGGCTTCTTCTATTTATATACTTGGATTGACATTTTCATCTAGCTGCTTAATGATTTTTTTTTTTTGTTTTAAAAATTCCATTTTTCGTATGACAGCCTTACATTCACTGCAAACTACAAGCTATGGAAGAAAGTACTGATAACAAAATGATGAGTTCTTGATGGTGTAAGAAAAAGTGGCAGGCATTATTAAGAGCATAAGGGATCCTTTGAAAAATACATGATTTAAAAAAAAAAATGCCAAGAAAGAAGAAAATATATTTATGTGTGTACATGCCAGGAAATTAATTCAGTTAAGTCTGTTTTTCAGCTTGCCATAGTGTGCATTTGGAGGCCAATGGTTTGGTTGAAGAGTTTTTACATATGGTAGTAACAATTCTAGGCTGTTTACATCATGGTTGTAAACAGATTTATTTCGGGCTTTGTAATAGAAAATGATGTTATGATCTAGATTAGCAAAGGTTGGGTTGAAGATTGTCGTTTGTGAAGATCTTCAAAGATGAGTAGGGATTTTCTGTTTTAAAAGATGGTGAATGTGGGGAGCTATTGGTGAGAAGAGGGAAACTTGCAAGTGATTTGAGGTTCTGCTAGAAATACAGAATTAACTACCAGTTTTCAGCGCCACTCCTAGTTGCAGTGAGAGGATCTGTTAAATATTGTAAAGTCACATTTAAACAAGTGAATTGTCCACAGGTGTCTAGAGTTCCTTCTACAAAATGATGCCAATCCATCCATCCAAGACAAAGAGGGGTACAACACTGTGCATTATGCTGCTGCATATGGGCACCGGCAGTGTTTGGAACTGGTGAGTGCTCATACAGTTTGGAGGTCTCTTTGCTGTGTTATGTGTTTGTGTAAATGCTAGAGTTGTGAACTCCCCTGACGGTTACTATTTGAATTCTTTGGGTATTCATAAATCTGTGAAAACCTGCAACATGGTGCAGTTAACTCAAATACATGCAACCAGTTGTGGCTTAAAAACATATTAATCTCAATAATCCAGTCCAAGCTGGTGCTTAAATGTTGTCTTTGGGTGGAGTTTATGTGTGCTCAAATTATTTTTAACTGCAATCAAAATATTCCTGGTGTATGTGTATGTGCCAGTAGTCAGGGAGAGCGCCCAGTTCATGACAGTGTATGTGCCTTCTTTTGCTGGCACATTATCTGACTTGCAAACTGAGACACTCTTGTCAGCTGCATACCTGCAGTGCCTGTTTTCCTCTGGTGAAACAACAGCAGCAATGATAAAGTTACTGTCATCAAGATTAACCTTGTATGCAATGTAACTGAGGGCTGTGTTGTTGTTGTTGTTTTTTAATAGCAATCACCTGAATGATTAGAAATTGCATCTCGTAAGAAGCCAAAATTTTGAAGCCGAAAATTGGATTTGGAAGATGTATAGTATGGATTTATAGAAGTTTGTGACTTGTAAAAATAAGTGTCATGAAGATGGGTGTTCACTGATCTGCTTGATACGCAGGGTGATCCAGCATTACTGGGTCACATATAAGTAGGCTCTTATTGATTAAAAAGAAAAAGCTGTGATTAGAAAATTGCATAGATATTCAGGCTTTACTAAGAAAATCGTGTGCTGTTTAGTGTTTTATGTTGTTTGGTCCTTTCTTTGTTGAAGAGTCAAAGTATTTAATTGTTGAAAAGGAGCTCTGCACAGCACATGCTGCTTTCACACCATATTTACCAGCACTGTCAGTGACTGCTGCCACAGGAGATGTACTGCAGCTGGCCTACGTCACAAGGTCACAACAGCTAGGAAACTCTGACCTGAAATTACACCAGGGCAGCCCTGGGTCAGAATTTCAGGTGGGATATTAAGCCTTTTTAGCTCTCACCTCAAGTATTGTGTGTTTAGGACACTTAAAATATCACTGCTCTTTTGTTGCTTGTGGCAGTGAGTTTGGCCTTTCCTTGTTTAGAGCCTTTTCCTAGACCTGATGTCTCGTGACTGCCTGTGGAGATGGAGGGGTCTTCTGCTGAGCCTGTGGCCCATTTGGAACAAAAGCAAATGTTTGTGCTATTTGAAGGGTGTATATATAGAGTAGCCTCTTCTGTGCTGTGTACAAGCCTATGCTTGTATGGCCGCAGCAATGTGTATTGCAACCTTACCTGTGTCTTATCACCAGATTCTTGCGTGACTTGCATGAGCAGAAATTTTTATAATGGCGTCTTCACTGGGGAATTCTCTTCAGCCTTCATATCATAGTCCCTGTGTACAACTACTGTGGATCAGACACAGAGAATGGTCCCCTCTTTTTTTCTTTTGCTTGTTGATGTGCATGTTTTCTGGCAACGTATCAGTTGCAGGCAATGAACTGCTATTGAGTCCTAGTGTTTCTTAGGCTTGCCAGAGAAAAGGAGGAGCTGGGAATTCGGTGCATATCAGAGGTGTTGGTTTGGTTTGGTTTGGTTTGGTTTGGTTTGGTTTTTTTGTTTTGGAGGGTGAAATGCAAACTGTGGATTAGACATAGCTGTGCAGCAAATGTTCTGTATTTGGACAGAGAAATTAAATGTTTTTCAATGTCAATCTTCCCATATTTGTGACTATAGCTGCAGTATAGAAACTCAAGGTCAAGCATAATTTGCAGAGTTATAGTCATGCAGCTGTTCTGTGTACACTGGTGAAAGAAAACTGCTACAAATTTTAGCCTATTGCATGGAAAGGACCACTCCTGTATGCTAGAGTGACTACCTGGAAGTTTTGCGGGGACTGGGATTTTGCCCTTGATGCTCAGGGGTTGACAGGCATCTCGTTTTCTCTCTGGAATACAAAAGCTAAATGTACCAGAAAGCATGTGTGCTCTATCAACAGTAGGACCAGGATTCGTCATCTTTGCACTCACTGTCAGAAGAAGGTGGTTCTGTTTTGTTCATGTGAGCACTTGTCCCTTAGCTGTAACAAGTTACTGAGGCTTGAGTGTAATAACTTTATATTTCATAACAGTGACTAATTGATATGGGCACTGCCTTTACACTATTTTTTTTGGCATTACTTGGATTCAGGATAGCAAAAGGGTCAGGACCAAAGTCTTGAGCAGCTGAAAAATAATTGTGGGCATGAAATGGCAATAATCCTCGAGCCTAGGTTTATTCACTTATTCCAGCATGAGACTCCCAGGTGTTAAGACAATTGTTGATTCCCATGCTTCAGCTGATAAAGTAGTGTCATATATAGGCATCACTATCCTGTAATGCAGTCAAATTGTTTTTGACAGAGTTGTGGTTATTTGTGGCTGTTTGAAGGCTGTGTGTAAAAGCTGCAATAAGAATTCATCTGGTGCTGATGGAAAGGAGCCTCACTGCCTTGTGAGTCTGACTGGTGGCTTGGTTACAGTTTGCTGTGCTCTCTGTGGTGGACCTATGACAAGGACTTCATCATGAACCACAATCTATATTTTTGGTAGCTATTAACCACAGTACATTGACTGCTCCAGTTATTCATAGTTGAATGAAGCATCCACTAAGGTGTAATTGCTTCTAGGCATGACTTTTATCTAGAGGCCCCTTCCTTTCCATATAGCAGAGAGAACAGGAAGTCATCAAATGCCATCTTAGTTCTGAAGCTTTTTGTTTATCAATTTTGAAAACTAAAAAAACTAAACAATGAAGATCCAGAAAATTGGCAACACTATTTGCCTCGTTTCTCTCTCCTGAGCTGCACCGGGCTCTCCTTGGTAATGGTGGAGGAAGTTGCTGATTCCAGTTAATGCTGCAGGTTGACTTGGTGGGTTAGTGTGTAGAGTAGGCACACAAGGACAGCTGGCTATGTATGAGGAGTACTTGGCTGGTTTTGTTGCTGTATCTTGGAAATACATTTTTCTTGTTTTTCTTGTCTTCAGTGCCAATGAAAAGGAAAGTAAGTTTCACAATATTTTTAGTTGCTCTTACTCAAGGAACAGTGGGAGCCCAGCAGCCCTAATTTCAATGTAAATATGTCTGTAGATAGGCAGAGAGATTTTTTATTTTGGTTTCTCACGTGCAATAACAGAGATAAATTAGTGTCTTTCTTAAAAGTGCTAACTTCAAACCACTAGTTTCTGTCACAGGAACTTTGACATACAGAATACTCTTCCTAAAATATTTCAAATCCCTTCTATCCTGAAGAAGAGATTTCAGGCAGGATTATTGAAATAACATTATTTTTCAGTGCCAAATTAGCTATTATTTTACTGTTTTATCCCTTGGGTAAATGTGTTTGATTTATTATTGAAAGCTCATAGGAATTATTTTCCCTAGAACAAGACAGTTCTTTATGGGCGTAAAACTGTTAGAGGAAAGAGTACATACAAAATATGAAGCTTTAATTCTGATAAAAACTAAGGCAAAGTGGGTGCAACAATAAACTTGATTTTATAAGTAACGGTTACCGGTATTTCTCTACATGCACAATAACAAGCTTTAGCAAACTGTTAGGGAATTATTTCAGTGTTCCAGAATATGTCAAGTTTATAAAAGACCTTGTAAGATTGTGGGTTGTTTTTTTTTTTTTTCTTCTCCTCTGCCCCCTGGTTTTTATAACAGGTATCCAACATAGCTTATTTTTAAATAAATGGTCACTTAAAAAAAGTCTGAAGAAGAAGATGCAGTATCCAGTGGAGTTTCCTTCACTGAGGGGTCTGATCTATGCTTTAAGGACCATAGCTTCTCAGCATTACAAAATATTTACACATTTGAGTACAGTTTAGGAAAGACTCGTTTATCTACGAATTTTTTTTTTTTTTTTTTTTTTTTTTTTGACTTTTGAGTTTACTGTGAGCCCAATACCTTGGCTGGAATTTAGCTAAATTTCTTTGTGGAGAGAAGAGAGGTATTAGAAGAAATAAGGTTTAAGAGTGAAAAGGTCATATCCTTTGACCCAAACAAATAAAATTGGTGTTTGCGTGTTCAACCACAGAGCTCAATGACAGAAGCTTTTTTCCTGGAGGACCTTTAGATTGTCAGGGATATTAGTGGGGAAGTTGCCCTGCAATGAATGACTTGGTGTTGCTAAAAAGAAAAGAGTGGAAACAGATTCTTGAATTCTTTCTCCAACTGTAAGGAGCCATTCGTAAAGGCTGAATGGTGGGCATGTGTGCTTGCAAGGAACTGAAACTCCCATCTGCTCTCCTAAAAATAACCTCATGTTTGTTTAGATTGGGACTGACTTCTTTGGTGTTCGATAGTCAGGGATATCAGTCACGATTGCTAGCTGGTATTTTAGAGCTGATGACATCATCAAATTACTTTGGGAAAAAAAAGAAAAATATGGGGTTTTTTCCTTAAAATGATCTCTTATCACAAAACCCTTATGTGTGAAAAAAGTGAAATTTAAATTGTAATTTCACATTAAAATTCTATCTGGAGAGCCAGTCAAGTACTTTGTGCTGGCAAAAAATAGATTTCTGTGCAGTGTTAGGGTAAACAGAATTAAATGCCTGTCTCCTGTAGTGAAATCACTTCTCTGACTGTAAGAATTGATGGTTATTTTCTCTTTTAATCTCCTTTTCTCTTTATTTCATCAGCAAATTAAATTCTCTCTCTGGCTAATAGAAATTGAATCAGCACAGGGGCCAATTAATTTGAGGATGGGAGGAGGAGAGCATGGTTTATCTGAAAACCGTGTCCAAAAGAAAAGACAAATCTCAGTCTGCCTGCCTGCCTGAAGCAAGGTGAACCACACAGCTGTGTGTGTCAGGGAGCTGGGGCAGAGCGATATTTCCTGCTAGCAGAAGGCCATCTTGTCTGAGCCGTGAAAGGAGAGGCTGGGTTTGAAGAGAAAGGAATGACCTTTTATTAGACCTGCCATTACCA